AGATAACGGGTAGTCTAGTTTAATCTATGCAGCAGAATCCATAACTTTGATCAAGGCTGATTCTTGATCAACGGCACGCTTTTATCTCGATAATCAAGAAGGTGCATAATAAAAAAAAATATTTAAAAAACTGTGATTAAATGCAATACACATCTGGTCCGACTCAGGGAGGTGTAAAAAGTCTTTTTTTTGCACCATTACAGTACTTCCTCTTGATATTGTATACGAGAAAGTAAAAAGCAACAGATTTTTTTTTAAAATTTAAAGCTGCAATCAACTTCAATAAATTTGAATTAACTTTTCATAATGTGTTTACTAACCTAAAATAGTGTCAAATGAAACCTAAACCTAAAAAAGCATTTATAATAAATCAATATATAACTGTCTGTTGTATTTTTTTTTTACAAAACATACAACCAGGAGTTAAAAATTCATAACTAGTTTAAAGGAACATTAACTCTTTTCAAATGAGTGCTTTATCTCTTTTCCTCTAGCTGTATAGGCCATCTCAATGTGTGTGTGTGGTCAAGGAAAGCTACAATGTTCCTCTCTCCTAAACTTGATAAATTACTAACAGCATTGAGATAAACAATATAAACAATATAAAATATAATAATACTTTTGCAGATGTTATAGAATAGTAGCTCCCTTACAACGAAAAAACAGACCCAAATAATCGCACATTTAAATCTATTAAACGTATAAAAATACATGTTCACAATGTGAGTATTAAAAACCAGCTATAAAACAGCATTGAAACTATAGACTAAACTAAAACAATAATGAATAGATGAAATTTGTACATTTTAGAATTTTTAAAAAAATTGACCCAAAGATGATTTTAGATCTGACTATGGGTAATTATTTTCAAGTTCTTTTGAAAAAAAAGTATATAGAAACAAAATTAATATATAAAATATGCGTTAAAACACTCTTTTACCGCATGTATTAGCCTAGAATTATACTGCCCCTTAATAAGCAATGTCAGTTAAGACATGGTGTCATGTAGGTTTAATTTCATGCAACAAAAATGTGTGATTTAGTGAAACTTAACATTCTCCTTGTCACGACTGATAGATTGTTTCTTCAAACATACAACGACCGCAATTAAAAAAACGCGGGTCATTTATTCGCATGTCATGCTTTTAAATCCTGTAATTCGCAATAAAAAATCACCTTTAAACGTGTGTATAACTGTCAAATAAATTAGAGCTCATTGTTATGTAGCCATTGGCGTCACTAGGGGGTGCGGGGTGTTGACTTCACAGGAATATTGCGTTTAGGGTGTGTCACCAAGGTAAATATACAGATGAATGTTTTCAAAATTTTATTAATGATTAATTAGAGTTAAATTGTCTTTTGGGTGAGGAGCGCTGGATATTGAGACACAATGGCGTAAACTAACTATGTAGTACGAATGCTATAATCTAACAGTCCTTATATAACATTACTATTAACGGTTTACATTTAAATATATCGCCCGATGAGGGAGGGGGATGACGCCACTTGAAAACTTTACAAATTTTATTGAGGAAAAAAAAGTTTTTTAAAAAGATTTTTTAAATAACTGATACATTAACCAACGACATGTTTTTTTAAAATACATTTTAAATATATGTTAGTGATCCCCCCTTAGCTTTCTTGCTTTTTTTTTTTTTTTGCCTTGTTTTTTTATGTCGCTTTATGAGGGATGGCATATATAATGCATTCGGGCTATAGAAATTTTTAATTAGTTTTTAACACATTTTTAAACTAAAATTAGAGCCAATTAGAAAAAAAAATTGCACACGGTGAACGCATACACTTGGTTTGTAATGAAACGGAAAATTAGTACTTTACTAGACTACCCGTCATCCGTTGAATAACTGTGGGTTTCGGGGGTCATCCATAAAAACATCACGTCTGTCACTTATCGTCACAAAAAACCAGACCCCACATTCAAAAAGAATTTTTTTTTCTTTTAAAAACAACGAAAACACTAATTTCGGACTATCCCTTCATATACTGACGTCACATGTGACCTACTCAACTCTACTTCACCTGCCCAGTGTCCTGCCAAGTATCAGACAACATGTTTTTATCGTTTAAAAAAACGATTCCAGCCGAGCATGTCTCTGACCACACTATCCTATATGCTTAGGACAAAGGAACAGATTAACTCTACTTCACCTGACCTGTACCCCGTCAAGTTCAGATAGGCAACTTTATCATTCACATCTAAATAAAAAATAAAAATGAAAACAAAAATTAACATTGACGTATTGGTCTAGAACCTGTGCCACCAGCATGCAAGCCGATTACACTAACAACTTAGCTATTTAACTCGTGACGTCACAGATGTTTTTTTATACTATACTTTAATACTTTAAGCCTCCTTATGCAACTTGATTTACGCGCATAGATCTAGATCTAAGTCTAGTAGTAGTAACTTTCAAATAGAATTTTATCTTAAATTAGCCAAAGATTTATATAAAATAATGAAGGTTTGAAATTATCTAGATCTAGATAGAATTATCTAGATCTAGATTCTACGACTCGTTAAGCATGTTTATATAACGTGAAAACCCGCCATTTTGCTCGTAGCAAACATGGCCTAAAAATAGTCGGAAGTCATTCGTCCGGTCCGGACGCCATTGTTGTTAGCAACCGACCACGCCTCCAATAAAGCGAGTAATCCTACTATATCTAGCTCTAGATCCTAGATAGATAAATCCGATGTATTCTCGAATAAGATGTTCATTAAAGCTAAACAAAGATTTATATAAAATAAGGCCTGAAATAGTTCTAGATGTAGAATTTGCATTAAGTCTAGATATAGAATTTACGTAAAGTCTAGTGACCTAGATCTAGATCTAGATCTAAAATCTAGATTTCATAACAACATGTTCTACCTTCGACAGCTGATCTGTAGATCTAGAGAAATTTATCGTAAAACTAAATGAAGACGACATGAAAATTGATTTTAAGTGTTGGAACGTAATAAATACAGCAAACGGGCGTATTGTTAAAGTTATAGCCGACAGAAAATTAGCTTTAGAACGCGTTAAACTTTGGAATGGGAACATAATCTTCTTCGATAGACGCCGCCATTTTATTGTACTAAAAAGTAAACAAAAAAATGTGACGTCACTCTTCCGTCAAGTCTAGTGGTTTTTCTAATCTTTTAAAATAAATGTGGTTAATCTACCTATGAATAAATCAATAAATTAATTAACGTCTTTAAATAAATTTGAAAACAACATTTTTTCTCTACCTACATACTATTTTACAGCTCTCCACATAGAGTACATCCATTTACAATAGTCAATCAGATAAATAAATATTCATGTAAACAAACTTGAGTTTTAGTAGGATATAGATAGATAGATGTAACAGTTTCGAAAAAGGCAATACGTTTTGTTGGCTCTGTATGTGGTACGGCAAAAGCCCAAAGTTCGGCAACTTCGAAAACTGACCTGCCAGTTAGCAAAGTGTTACACCTCCCTGAGTCGGAAAAACATATCTTGTCCGTATGTCTCTGTGTGTGTGTATGTGTGTGCGTGTCTGTAAACATTATAACTTGAGTACCGATACGGCTAGGTTGATGAAATTTTATATAATTATTATATCAAATTTGTAGCTCTGTATCAACTTTTCGCGATTTCCGATAACCGGTAGTAGAATTTATTTTACTTTCAATTTTTCAAAAGCCAATAACCAGAGTACTATTGCAGATAGATAAATGAAATTTCACATGTAACTAAAAGATCTATTATCCTGCCTTTTGTCAAAATTTGATTAAGTTCCGTTTACCGGAAGCAGTGGCGTAGGTAGGGGGGAGGGTTAGGGGGTATGAGACTCTTCGGTAAATATATATAAATTATGAGGAGGGGGGGGGGTGCAAATCAAAAGTTTGAAGCTTGAGACGATCCTGGCTACGCCACTGACCGGAAGTAGTATTTTAAGATATTTCTGATTTCTCAAAAAACTCATGTGAATTTATAAAGTACTAATAATATTCCGCACTATTATACACATTTTGTTTGGCGTTCACTTTGTACGCAATTCTTTTTCTACGAGATCCTATTTTCAGCTAGAATTATATTTTTAAAAGTTTAAGTAATTAAAATGGTTTAAAGTTGTTGTCTATGTCCGGGCTGCCATCCCTTGCAGTGTTATATAAGAATATTCGAGAAAGTTTAGGGGAGATCACTCCCGGTTTATTATATTAAAGGTGAATGTCGCCAAATCTGTAGGTTGTGTTTTGACTACTTGAAATACACCACAAAATGTCGTCCATAACTAAGTCACAACTCAGCGTAACTCCAATTTCCTCTTTTTAAAAAAATTGCAGCATTTGTTTTATATAAACTGCCTGGGTCAGTGGTGAGTGGCTTGATATACCTATGTTACAATTTACTTTAATAAAGCTTTGTAAAAAAAAATGCTAACATTCGGTTTTAAACATTACTTTTTAAAATGTAAGTGTCTCGTCACATTTTCTGACCCCACTCTTCATCATACATTACCATCTGTTTTAACATGTTTTACATGACTATAACAATACTTCCTTTATACTCTTTAGGCCTATACAATAAAGTAAAAACAAATACTTTCATTTCCGGGGATTACGGAACAAAATTTCCATCTACAGTGTTATGTTATTCAAATATCTAATTTTTTTCTTCCGCAATTTTTTCGCCGTTTCTGCCCATAATGGAGCGCCTCGTAATAATAACGTCTAAGGTTATCATTCACTTTTCATCGTTCTCGACGCTTACTGCTCTTCAGGACGGGTCGCCAACCACAGCTGCCCAGTGTCGTCAGGTATTCTCTCTAGTTCATACCAGTGTATATATACCAGTATATATATTTATACTTACCGCAAATACCTGGCAACACCCTTGCAACTGCTACAGCTACTCCGGAAGCCTGGCTATGCCCCTGAGGATAATGTTTAGTAATAAGCGCACGCAGTATGTTCCAATACAAAAAAAAAACAACTTGTTGAGACGAGTATATTTAAGCTCTCGTCTGCACAGTTCGGCAGTCCTGTTGAAGTGTTTCTTCAACAAAATTACCGTAAGTATACTAATACAGTATAATTAATTAGGAAATTAGCTAATTTAAGCAAATATTATATTATAAGCCTTAGTAGCATTTAAGAAATTAACGGTTTTTATAGGTGCATTGACCGGTTTGAACAATGTGACTTGTTTCCTACAAAAATTGTAATCAGGAAGTAAAAATTAAAAGTCAAATGTAGTTTGTTTTAGCTCCACATAAAAGCTGATGCCAGGCGTACAAGAATTGAAACTAATCAGGAAAATAAAAGATATTAGCCAACATATAGGCCTACATCGTTTCACCGATAAAGACTAGAGATGAACTAAAAAATACATAGCGCATATTCAGTCAAATCAAAATGTCATGCAATTATTGAAATTAAAGGAATGAGTCCGTAAATATGTAAAAACATATGTCTTTAGGTAAATAACGTGGTTCTTGTGTGTATGTGCTTTGTGTGTTCGAAGTATATCTCGCCTAACTCCTGGCATTGGGCATGATAAAAAATCGAAAAGGAACCGTCTGTATTACGAAAATTGGGAAACATTTCTTGAAGTGCTTTAATAAAAATATGTAAGCATAATTCTATCGTCAAACAGTGTGATAAGAGCCACGCCGTAAAAAAAAGAGCACTCGAGGACAAAGCAACTGTGGTCAAAGCACTTATGGTCAAATGAGGTATTGCCAAATTAGCCTTGGTCAATGCAATGCGTACCTCAAGAGAGATGAGAAAGCAAAAGCTTGCATCCATATTTTTTACATTTTCTCGTATACACGAAGTATAGAGAAAATATTGTAATCGTAAAAAAAAAGATCGAGATTTTTTTCAAATCTCGACGTTTTAGTGCGTCCTGAGTCGGAAAAACATATTTTTGAAATTTTGTCTTTATGTCTCTGTGTCTGTGTGTGTAAACATGATAACTTGAGTACCGTTACAGCTAGGTTGATGACAATATTTATATATAAGTATTCTATCAAAATCGTAGGTCCCTATCAACTTTTGAGCGATTTCCGATGAACGGAAGTGGAGTTTATTCTACTTTCAATTTTTCAAAAGCCTATAACTTGAGTACTGTTTCAGATAAATGAATGAAATTTCGCATGTAAGTAAAAGATCTAATTCTCTACTTTCTGTCAAATTTTGAGTAGTTTCCGTTGATCGGAAGTACTAATTTACGCTATTTCCGATTTCTCAAAAACGCATGTAAATTTATAAAGTAGTAATAATATTGCGCAATATTATGCACATTTTATTTGGCGTTCACTTGGTATGCAATTCTTTTTTCTACGAGATTTTATTCTATTTTAAAAACTTTAAGTATTTAAAATGGAGTTCCCACCCCCTGTTGTTTTATATAAGAATATTCGAGAAAGTTTAGGGGAGATCACTCCCGGTTTATTTCAATCGTTTCTCAAATTTCTTTTAAAAATATTAGTATTTCATTTCAGAATCACGTGAGATATAATGTTAAATGAGAGAAAAACGACTCTACAATGATCATAGCTCATAGTCAATTTTCGAAATTCAAAAGTTTTTTCTAATGAAATAAACCGGGAGTGATCTTCCCTACACTTTCTCGAATATTCTAACATAAAATTACGAGGGATGACAACTCAGGACATAGACAATATTTGTTATCAATTTTTAATTACTTAAACTTTTTATAATAGAATCGAATCTCGTAAAAAAAGAATTGCACACCAAGTGAAAAGTTTCCCTTTCACACCTGACGGTCTATGGGGCAAGTGAAGTAGAGTTCACTTGTTTCTGTCCATTGCCATTTGCCATTAGTCCTCTTTGCTCCTTATGGAGCATAGGGCCTCCACCATTTCTGTGACCTCGGTATATGAAGAGACAGTGTGGTCAGCACTATGCCCAGCCGCCTTTACTTTCCCTAACAGGAGTTAGGTACCCATCAGAGTTGGGTGGACTCAGGGACGGTCTACTGACTTGAACTCGGATTCGAACTCGAGACTAACGCGTTAGCAGTCCAGCTCTCTACCGCTAGACCACTCCGTCCTACACCAAGTGAACGCCTAATAAAATGTGTATAAAAGTGCGGGATATTATTAGTACTTTATAAATTTACATGCGTTTTTTGAGAAATCGGTAATAGCGTCAATTAGTACTTTCGATCAACGGAAATTACTCAAAATTTGACAGAAGGTAGAGAATTAGATCTTTTACTTACGTGTGAAATTTCATGCATCTATCTAAAATAGTTATAGGCTTTTGAAAAATTCAAAGTAGAAAAAGTACCACTTCCGGTTATCGGAAATTGCTCAAAAGTTGATCAGGATCTACGATTTTGATAAAATACTTATTTCATCAACCTAGCTGTAACGGTACTCAAGTAATCGTGTTTACACACAGACACACAGACAGACACACAGACATACGGACAGAATTGCAAAGTCCAGTTTTTACGACTCGATAACGCTTAAAACGCCAAAACGTTTATATATTTGTATTTATAATTTTTGCCTGATTAAAATAAATCCTCTATACTCCGGATGTGATGAAGGACTGAGGAGTAAAACGGTGAAAACTGTCAAAATTTCATGTTATTTTTGTGCACGATTACAATACTTTCTCTATACTTCGTATATACGAGAAAGTAAAAAAAAATAATAGAAATATAATAATAACTATAAATTTATGATAACAAATTTTAAGATACTTCAAATCAGGAAACTAGTAGGCATTTTGTTTAGTAGTAAAAAAAACAACAACATTGGTATTCTTAATACGTTTCTTGATCTACACATTTCACTATTGATTTCAAACTTCTCGAGCAGTTGTAGTTTAACGTCGTGTCATTTTTGATGCCCATATTACATCTTTTTATGTAGATAAGAACAAAGTACATTTTCAACGGCCATCGCTAACAATACTGCTTTTTTTATAACATAGTTATTCTTCTACAGGTTTTACATTAAAGATGATTTTGGCTGTAAAGGTCTCGGTATTGGCTTTGCTGGTTTACGGGGCTAATGCTGGCTGTAGCAGATCAAACTGGTGGTCCAGTATGGACAAGACAGGGCTATCAAAATGTGACAATGAAACAGATTTCATCTCGGGTTTGTATAGGAACGAGAGAATAAGCTGGGATGACGACGCTTTGCAGCTGTTGGAAGAGGCGGAATGTTGCACCAGAAACTGGACTTGGACACAATCTAAAACCCAAACCGTGTACGCTGATTGGTGGTTTACATTTGACAGATCAAATTCTTGGGTTTATTGTCCAGCTGGTTATTTCCTGAATGGTTTGTACAGAAATGAGAACAACCCAGGTCTCTTACATAACATCGAAGAAGGGAGATGTTCCAAGCCAGCCGACCACCCCCCATACCACGGGCACTGTTATGACCAAGACATCGGTTTATGTTTTGATAACAAAGGCTTATGTAGATGTAACAACGACTACTACGTCACCGGTATACATCGCGGAAACTGTGACCAACTCCACTGCCTAGATCAGCTGAGATGTTGCACGACAGTTTCAGCACCGGAAGAACTAGACGAGATGTACAAGGTAAAGACTCACATCATGGACACCACGATGTCGGAGATGGCTTATCTGGCTCATTATTTGGGTTATGGCTGGTGCTCGGGTTGTAGAGCGGCATCTGTTGGAGAAGATTTTAGAAGAAGTGGCGACACTTGGAACGCTGATAAAAGTGGACGCTGCGAAGGATACATGAGTGATAAACGTCTGAGCATGGCCTATGGTGACTGGAGCTTTGAGATGAAGGACATCAAGTATGGAGAACCTGTGACACAGGACTTAAAACCAGAAACGTTAGACTCTGGTACTATTTATAACAATGATCAGGCTGAAGCAACAAAAACTATCGAGAGATCTGAGACCAGTGTCCGTAGCGTCACCCACACCACAACAAGTTCTTGGAAATACAGCCACGAGCTAAATGTCCAGGTGAGTTACATGCCATTTGGTTTAGGAGTGTCTGCCGGCTATAAATTCAACTATGAGACCAGCACCACAACATCTGATGAAACCAAGAGAGAACAGTCAAAAACCTTTTCAGTCAGCACATCTAAAACTCTGAGGCCGAATTCTGCTGCTAAATGGAGTCTTATCCTGTCCAAAACAAGAACCTCTGTCACCTACACTGCTACTGTTATAGCAAAGTTTTCCACCGAGTTTAGAGGATTTCTGCGTAAAGGAACCAGCAATACCGATACCAACTACCATTACCAGTATCGTGGTAGCGGAGATCACCCAACGTTTCACAACAGATTCGGCGACTCCAGCATTCCCTTCTACACAGCCCTGAAACGACAAAGCGAAACCAACTCACAGCCTTGGTTGTGGAATGACATAAAAAATGTCTACTCGGGGGCTCAAAAGTTAATCGATGATTTGTCTAATGAAAACAGATACATGTTTACAATATCTGGCAGGTTTGATGACGTAAGCGGCAAGCAGGCCGAGTTCCGCTGGGACTCTGCTCCGTTACGCAAGCGATCAGCAACTCGTGGCGAGAACGTGCCGGATGTCATACACCAGAACTCCACTCACGTCGCCAAGGCTCTGCCTAACGATGTTCCACCGGTGAAGCTTGACCCCCCTAAAGTCAACATCGAGATCAGTAACCAAACCAAGTTTGAGAACCACGAGTTATCTGGTTCCTAAATATATAAAACATTTAACCAATCATAATAAAATCAATAGAGGCATGTCTTAAACTTAGCTTTTGTTATATGTGGTCATATTTTAGCAAAATATTCCTTACATCACATTGCGTACCCAACCTCCACGTCCGTATATTATAACATTGCCACCAAATTAATTAATGACGAATCACCCTAAACTTCGACCTTACACTAAAACGAACAATCCCCTTAAGGTATTAATGGAAAATGGCTACTCGGGATATAGACATTAATATAACCAATTTTAAATAACTAAATTTAAAAAATAAAACTAGCCTACCCGTCATCCTTGGATAACTATGGGTATCGGGGGTCATCCATAAATGACTTTACATTGTTTGGCGATTTTTTTATCCCCTCCCCCACCTCCCCACTCTCACACATCGTCACAGAAAGCCATACCCTACTTTTTTAAAAGACGTCACTACTCAGACATCATGTTTTTGTTTTTGTATTTTTAAAAACATCGATTGCTGCTGAACATGGGTCTGTCCAAATTATCCCTTAAGATGCGAAGGTAACTTAAATAGTTGAACTCTGCTTCATCTATCCCATCTCCCCGTAAGCCCCAAAGGCAACTTTAGCATTCACATTTAAACAGAAGTCACACCTCAGCTTACATGTTTTTGTCTTTTAAAAACATCTATTTATTACCACAGTATTTTCCGAGCTCGAAAAACTTTTGAATAAAAAATGAATAAATTATTAAAGCTAACGTCAAACTATTAAAAATGAATTATAACCAATCGCGTGCGATGTGATTTTCTACTGTGCATTTTCTATAAGGGACAATTAAAACAAAAATGTTTAACACTGAAATTATGGGTTTCGAACCAATACCACTCTACTTTCTCTTCGACGTAAAGTAAAATACTCGAATATTATTTTTAATTATATTCCAGTTTAGCCAATTCAATGGCTAAAATACAGATTTTTATCAAATGTTTAAGCCCTGAATTAGTTTAGTAAGTCGGGCAGATGAGGCTCGTTAGCTGGAGACAGCCACTCTTCTCGGAGAGACAACAATCAAACAACTGCTGCTTGTAGTTTGTTCTTGTTTGCACAAAGGCTATGGAAGCAAATCCAAAAAGAAAAGCAGGCTGAAATCGGAGTCAATGGCCTCAATGGCGCATAACCAGTTGACACGTATCTTCAATTGTGATGGAGGCGTGGTCGAATCGGAAAAAGCTCATGGTTTATAAATTCGAAAAAGTCTCGAGTTCAACCCTCTGGCAGTAAAGGCTCGATCCCATCCAACACTAAAAATTAAGACCGAAGAAGATGAAGGAAGAAAGGAATTAGTAAGAAACTTAATTATTCATTGCGTAATTGGCATTGATGCCAGATCTATTCTCTATTTGTTTACGGACAGACTGAAATGGCTTAAGTCTATTTTTTTGGTAGCTCTGGATAAATTCGGGTGTTGGGAAATTGCAAGGCGCGGAAAGAGAAATGGCGAGGCGGTAAACTGCGAGAAGATAATGCCAACATACCTGCAGAATCACGGGTAAATAGCGAGACATCTTTTGCGAAAACAAGTTTTGTTTCATGCTTATGTATTTATATTTTTTTTTTTGTTTTAAATTAAACAAGCATAAGCTTATCCATTCCCTTTAACACGATTGTTTTATGTTGTCATTTTTAAAATCCAGTTTTCGTTGTTGTGCTACTGTCGTCGCCCGCTCTCGTCTCAGTCAACATTATTTTTCCCACGTTTTCTTTAACTTGCTTTCTCTGTTTGTTTATTTGCCTTTCCAATCAAATCTTGCGATCGAAATTTCTGGCACTTCCCAGTTAGCTAGCGCGCTGAAATTTTCAGGGAAGCTTTCTTTTGGATGACCATAGAATATGCAATTGTTATTATTACTAAATTGATCAATGGAAACATTTTATTGAGCATTTTAGACCGCTATATAATCTATATATATAATTCTCCTCTGCGAGCCATTAGAAAAAAAAACCAGCGACGCGTAGCTCGCGCGCAGTGAAGCGAACGATTCCACGACGCGACAGGCTTAGGGGCAGATAATTTAGTTTGAACCGACTTAAAACTTACAGGAGGTAGGCCAGTTTGGGGGAGACGATATGGTCGAGTGGTTGGGCACACGATTGCTATCCCACTCGACACGGGTTCAAATCTATGTGTTCTAGTCAGTAACGTATTCACACAACGTGTTTTTTACGAGTTGTCTTTTTACGAGTTGTCTTTTTACGAGTTGTCTTCGTTTACCCAACAAAAAAGTGAAAAGATAAAATCGATAGCAAGATTTTAATGCAAACAAACAGACAAAGACTAAAAAGTAGAAAATAATAATCATTAAAAAAGTTAAAAAAAAACCCACGTTTTCTGATTGAACTAAAAAGTAGAAAATAAATGCTATACATCACAATAATGCAAGCGATCACTCTACTATAAGCGATCAAAAACGTGGGGCGCCGTGATTTTCTTAAAGTTTCTAATACTGTTAACTCTCTATAACTCCCTAATAAAAGTCAATAGTATTATCTAATCAAACAGTGAAAGCAAGTTAAAGAAAACGTTGGAAAAAGTAGAAAATAATAATCATTAAAAAAGTTTTAAAAAAACCCCGTTTTCTGATTGAACTAAAAAGTAGAAAATAAACGCTATACATCACAATAATGCAAGCGATCACTCTACTATAAGCGATCAAAAACGTGGGGCGCCGTGATTTTCTTACAGTTTCTAATACTGTTGACTCTCTACAAGCTCCCTAATAAAAGTCAATAGTATTATCTAATCAATAGTAATATAACTTTTACTTCGGCGCCCCACGTTTTTCATCGCTTATAGTAGAGTGATCGCTTGCATTATTGTGATGTATAGCGTTTATTTTCTACTTTTTAGTTCAATCAGAAAACGTGTTTTTTTTTTAACTTTTTTAATGATTATTATTAAAAATCTAACGTGAGCGGGTCATTATGAATTGGTAAATTCTTGTCAGCGGGAGAGATATTTTGCCACGTGTACTAATGGATTGTTGTACTTGCAGAAAGCGTAAAAGTAGCCTATCGATAAACAATTTATAAAAGTGTAATTTATTTTTATTAAGTAATTTTAAAAGTTCTACCATCTCCATTACCACAAAAATTAGGATATTTAACTCAAATGTTAAGGCAGTTCTGCTGTATGGAGCAGAGACATGGAGAGTTTCCAAAGCAAGCGCAGCAAAGGTACAGACCTTCATGAACAGATGCCTTACACCGCGTTTACACTTACGACAATGTTACTACCCTTGACCTACTAAAGTGTATACTAAACATGTTACGAGTATATGGAACATCTTCTGAGTCGCAGGGCACAAAACCACGCCCCTTTTTATGTTCTGGGTAAAGTTTTTGTCTTCGCTCGCTGAGCGAAAACATTGGACATGTTCTGAATTTTCAGATGAGTGCGCATGCGTCAAAAGTAGTAAGCGCATCATAGGTCTCAGCTGATTGCAAAATTAAATGTAGATTCTATAATGATTTTGAGTTTTTGAACACACGATTTCATAATTTATAATTTCTCTAGGCCCCGCTAAAATTTACATTTTTATAATTTTTTTTATTTCTTTAATTAAATTACAAACACGTTTTAATGAAATAATGTAGTGTCTAAGGCATTACAATTTTGCCTTAAAACCAGTTTAGGTATTAATTACAAAAATATTAATTAATTAAAAATATAATTGAACCAAATTTATCTCCAATTTTTTCTTGACTAACACATTTTCAGTTTCCGTCTCACATGAATAAATCTTTATGCCCACCAGAATGTGCTCGTGGGATCACACATAATCAACTTACTATAAAAACAGGCAGATAAAAAAAGTCATAGGCTAATTATTTAGGTTTAAAATGGAACATAATTAACATAAAGAAACGAATGGGGGGGGGATGTCATAGGCCTTACTCTAAAAACTAGATCTACTTTTATTCTTAAAAATAGACTCAGTATAGTGATAACACGATCGCAATACGTTTAATGAACTTGGCAGATGCAAGTTTTCGGAGAAAATCGGACCTTTACTTTCAGCAAACAAATATTTAGCCCTGTTTATTGGAAGCTGTTTCTGAAAGATATAGACTAGCAATTAAAGAAGCTGGGGAAATGTCTACCATGGGGTTGGGGTGGGAAAAGGTGAGTGTACTGCGGGATAAGAGGGAGGGGTAATAACAGGTGGGTAATGTGTATTATACACAGTATTATATTTATAAAAACTGTCTAGCTCCAGTAGTTGGCACTCCAATAAAATTTATAAAATCTTGCATGTTCTCTAATTTTTTAGATAATTTATTGTTGAATCGCAAGCACAATGGTTACACCATTTCCCTTTTAAATAAAAACATCTGTGTGCCCACTATCTTTTTTTTTACTTTGATTTCTCTTTATTTTAATTATCTGGGCCTATATAGCAGACGCTCCGTGTCAAAGGTCATGCTTGTTATATAAATGTTCTATAACATGTTCTGTAAGTGTGAACGCTAAAGTATACATGTTCTGTGAACAAATTGTTTCAAGACAAATTTTATTTTTTTTTTGTTCCAGAAATGTATAGTATACATTGTCGTAAGTGTAAACGCGGTATTAGACAGATATTGAAATTGAGATGGCAGGACAAAGTGCCGAACATAGAATTATGGAGGAAAGCTAGACAGGAGCCTATGGGTGTGCAAATAAGAAGGAGGAAGTGGCGCTGGGTGGGTCACACACTGCGAAAGGATCACTCAAATGTTACACGCCAAGCTCTTGAGTGGAACCCCCAGGGAAAGCGGAAAAGAGGGCGCCCAAGACAGACCTTGAGGCGGAGTCTTCTTGAAAAGCTGAAGCCAACAGGGATGCCTTGGGAGATGGCAAATTTAATAGCCGGGGATCGGAAGAAATGGAAGGAAATGGTGGAGGTCCTATGCTCCATAAGGAGAGAGAGGACTAAGTCAAGTAAGTAAATTTTAATTATAAACAGAATTTACAAACAAAATCTTCTAAAAGAGTCCTAGCACTACTCAAACATACCTCGTGACACCAT